GTCCGCTCCGCGTGGCCTGGCACCGCGGGGACAGGGTGTCCCACTGTGTGTCGGCAGGGAACCCGCGGCTCCCCAGCTGCCCCTGCGGTCGGCGGCAGTGAGAGCACCAGGAGCTCGGGCCTGGGGTCAACCGTTTGGGGCGAGCTCAGTTCCTCTCGTTCAACGTCACCTAGCGTCACTGTTAAGTCCATTCATGCCGTGTCGCGCTGGGGCCTGATGCTGGGTGAGTCGCTCGGCGTTAGGGGTCCATGCAGTCTGTGAATGGCAGACCCGCTCGAGGAAGCGTTCGGAACAGGCTGTGTGTTTTGTTAAAGCCTCAGCGCGTTCTGGGCCCCAATCGGGCCTTTGACAAAGCCTGCGCCCTGCAGCCCCCTCTGGCCCGCGGGGCCTCTTCTGCCCCCTCATCCCTGGCCCCGGGCGCGTGGCCAGGTGCAGGTGCTGTCCTTCCTGATGCCGCATGGGAGGCAGGCTCTGCTCCTCACTTCAGAGTCGCTGGTAACCGGAGGCCCCGCGGGTCCCAGCTCGGGCAGGCGCTATGCCCATTCTGAGTATTTTCTTTCTTCTGTCTTGTCACCCAGCTGCCCTGTAAAGCACAGCAGGTTGCAGAGCTGCTTTCGTGTTTCCTTCTCTCCCTCACGTGGGAGGTGTTACTGTGAGGCGAGTGCACAGACCCCGGTCCTTTCCACCGGTCCTGGCCCAGCCCGTCCCCGTCCTCTCTCTGCCCGCTGGGCCCCTCTGCCCGCTGGGCCCCCTCTGCCAGTTGGTATCCCTCTGCCCGCTGGGCCCCCTCTGCCCGCAGCACATTCCCACCCACACGCTCTCCCACCTGGAGGCCCAGGGTTGCTCTCTAGCTCCAGGCGAGTAGTCTTGTCGCCCAGACAGGCTTTCTCACACTCTTCAGTCACTCGTCAGTTAGGAGCCGTGTTGCTACGGACTCAGAAAGTCAGGCTTTGTGTCTTAAGTTGAAAATGATGCCGAAGAACAAAGTACCCTCCCAAGGAAAAGAGATGCCGGGAGTCGGGTGTGCATGTGGTTCTGGGGCCGCCCGGCGGTTCCTCCCGGCACCAAGTTCTCGGCCACGCGCTGACCGACCCCGTG